ACAGAAGTGATGCCATTCCTAAGGGACAGGGCGAATGCTTCCCCCCTCCCCAATTCCTCCCTCCCGAGGGACACCCCACAGCTGCTTCTCTCCATGTCCCACCAAAGCCTTGGGTGGGATGTGAATAAACCCAAACCAGGGTGGCCAGCAGTACCTGCAACAGCTTTCAGGATGCCAGCAGGGAGGATTCCCTCCCCAAAGGCACACTCACCCCAGGGCACAAACCCAAACAGCTTCTGTTTTACCTCCCCATCAAGAGAAAGACTCAATTATCATCTCAGTCAATTTAGCAAAGGGTCACTTCAGATAAAATGAACTGAATAAAGGTGAGAGCTTTGCATAATCTCAATCCCATTTACTCCCCCACACAGAGTAAATAAAAAAAAAAAAAATCTGGCATGTTGTGCACCAGGGCCTACTGAGAAGTATGTGTATAATAAACATCCCCATTCTAAAAGTGGTTAAAGGAGGGGTGTAATGAGCCGTGGAAGACCCATCAGGAAGACGAATCTGAGTGCTCAGCCAGCTCTAAGGTCTCCCAGCTTCACTCTGTTTTCCTTTGGTGGATCTTGGCAGCCAATACCAGCAAACTGTGCTGACAGGCACACCTTGCTCTCCACTGCTGCTTAGAACATACAGGCAGCACCCCAACGCACACTCAAACTTTTGGAGAAGAACAAGTTTACAAGGGGTGAGCCACAAGGTTAAGGCTGCCAGTCTGAGACAGAGCCCAAAGCAGTCAGGACTGCATCGAAATGAGGCGGTTCAGACGTGTCATACAGCCCCAAGGGGAATTATCTGTTGGATGAGGAAAAAAAAAAGCCAGGAGCTGCAGAGGTCAGCTGCAGCTGGTCAGGTCCTTGGACTTCCTTATCCACGTGGTCCCAAAGCTCTGCTCTTATTCTAGAAAGTTGGTGTGTAAGCTTGCCAACTGTCACCCAGCCACTGCACGGGTTAGATGAGGAAAGAAAAGCCTTTTCCAACACCCTTACAGATTGTCCACGCAGTACTTATCGTTATTGGTGCTCAAAGGCTCTTATGGCAGCTCCTGCCTTGGTCCTCCCTAGTCCCGAAAGGCCTGCTGTTCTGGAGAGATACGAGACAGCATCTACATCCTGAAGAGTGTGTAGATACAAGTCCAGAAAGGACTTGCATAAGTAGCAGGTTATTACAGCAAACTCCTAGGCTCTCCAGACACTTTGAGTTTTACACTGTCCAACAACATTTTTTAAAAAACAATCTATTCCATGGTTAGTTGAATGGGAAAGAATTTGTGATCAAGAGGTAGGCAACATTTCTTTGTGACGGCTGTTTGAGGAACCCTAAAGACTAAGCTGCTATGATGCCATTTCAGCAGTAAGAACAGAAAATGTTGATTCCCCATCCGTATCTCTAGACAGAAGGAAGATGATGGACATTGCTTGAAATAGCACTGCTTGAAGGTATATGTATAATCAGGAAGCAAAAAAGGTGCTGCTCTACCTTGCATGTAATTTGTGAAGGGAAAAATACTTCAGGCTAACCCAGAAGAGCTGACATGTGGTTGCAAGAACAGCATGATACCACAGCTCTAACCCACATTCTCCTCGGTGCTGGTGCCTGTTCCTCCCATCCCTTCTCTTCTGCAGGTAGACAAGCATAGAGAAACCATCTTCCACCTCCCTTCCCAACCTCTGAACTCCTTTGCCCCAGTTTCTCCAGTCACAAGTCATCATCACAAGCCACATCAAGAACAATTCTCCTGTACAACATGCACCAGCTTAGATCTTCTTACCTCTAACTGGGTCCTGCAAGATCTGGTCATAGAAATACAGGTATCTGTAGGAAAAAACATAAAGAGCCAGATACAACTGCAGAAGATCACCAAAAATGCCAGACTGCTGCAAAACCAGTCAGCTCTTTATACAATGATCAGTTCTCCATCTACTGATTCAGGGTCCCATTGGAGAAAAAAACTGTGTAAGACATTCATACCCATCAGAGATGGTTAGTTTAATATTGTCTGAATCTCTGACAGGTAATCCCATTCACGCTTTTTTGAGTATCCAAATCCATGCTTTTTTATTAAAGTTAAGATATTACAGCATGACTTTCATAGAAAGGAATAAACTTCAGAGCGAATTTTGCAGGCATGAAGTGTAGGGGCTTTGGTTATATTTAGTAACGCGATTATGGTTTTGTTCTACTTTGTGTTGGAGAGCTATCAGTTGATCCTGCCTCTTTTCATTCCACTTGGATTTGTTCTTTGTTAAATTAATGAGGACTTAACAGAAAGTGAATCACATACTATTTAATAAGGTTTCAGATTAAGTACTGAAGAGCCACAAACACATTGAAGTCTACTTGAAAGCCCCGCAGCTTTGCTCATCCTTAGTCACAGTTGTTCCCCCAGCAAACTGCAGTGTCATTTGTGTCCCAGCATGAAGATTAAGCTTGTTAACCCTTGTGAAGATACTCCGATGTCTGTTGTTGCCGTTTTCACTCCAGCATTTTTTCTAAAGCCTGGTCTCCTTGACCCTGATACCAATTTGCCTGCCAACCTCTTATGTTGTAATTAATTATGTTCTGGCAAAGCCTAGCTTCAGTGGGACAGCCTCTTTCATTTCGTGTAAGAAGGGCCAAGCATCTCAACATTTCTCTGGAAACAATGAATTAATTTATCATATTAGCTGCAACTGCAACACATAGAAAAATCTGGGCTCTTTCTTCCTGATCTGGGTAGCCTTGGAAGGCTGTCAGAAGTACATTTCTCTGGAAACAATGAATTAATTTATCATATTAGCTGCAACTGCAACACATAGAAAAATCTGGGCTCTTTCTTCCTGATCTGGGTAGCCTTGGAAGGCTGTCAGAAGTTACACCAAGGTATGCAGTGGGCTTTCAGAGCACTGCCTACATGGGCTAGTCCAGCACATGCCATCTGAGGAACATGATCATGTTGACACGTGATTTCCTCGTCTGAGTGTATTTACAGCTGAAGGCCTACGTTCAGATCCGTGCTGTATAATTTGTACACCCAGCCCTTGCCGACACATCAACAACCGGAAAACTACAAAGCCTCAAACATCTGCTGGGGTGTTTATTCTGTACCCATGCTGACCCGGGCGGCTTTCACTTAGGATCCTCCCTCTCCGATAGAAGTGGTTACATTCCCTTGCTTCTAGCTGTATTCCCAACTTCTAGTTGCATTTCTATTTTCAGCCCTAGGGACCTGCCATTTTCTACACAGGCTGTGTTTGCTGGCGGAAATTTATCTGCCACCATGCATCTGGAGTTGGGCTCCTGATGGGGCCAGCTTGAACACGATGGTAACCTGCTGCTTGTGACAGGTGAGCAAATTGAAAATCTGATTCTTTTAGAACAGGATCCTACTCCGTAAAACACTACAGAAGGTAGAAATAAAATATGGGGTTTAGTTTGAGGCGTTCAGGATTTGGGGGGAGGGAGGGGAAAGATCTGGAGTTGGGCTCCTGATGGGGCCAGCTTGAACACGATGGTAACCTGCTGCTTGTGACAGGTGAGCAAATTGAAAATCTGATTCTTTTAGAACAGGATCCTACTCCGTAAAACACTACAGAAGGTAGAAATAAAATATGGGGTTTAGTTTGAGGCGTTCAGGATTTGGGGGGAGGGAGGGGAAAGAGTTTGAAAGATAACCCATTGCAAGACACCTTATGTTAAAACAAGGGAGGGAACCAGACTCTTTTCAGTAGTTGCCAGTGAGAGGACCAGGGGCAATGGGCACAAGTTGGAACATAAAGGGTTCCACTTGAATATGAGGAAGAACTTTTTCACGGTGAGGGTGACGGAGCCCTGGCACAGGCTGCCCAGGGAGGGTGTGGAGTCCCCTTCTTTGGAGATTTTCAAGACCCGCCTGGATGCTCCTGAGTAACATGCTCTGACAAGCTCTGGGTGGTCCTGCTTTGGCAGGGGAGTTGGACTAGATGATCTCTGTGGTCCCTTCCAACTCTAAAAATTCAGTGAAATTCAGTGAAGTGAAAAGGCGACTCGTTTTGCATGCCGTTATTTCTAATTAAACTTAATTTATGGCCTGTCCACTCTCCTCCCAACCTATTGCAAGAACCCCCATCACTACTGCAGTTTGCCTGGAATATATGGCTAACGATACTCTACCTATGCATCGTTAGATCTCCATCTCTTCTGGAAGGATGTAGGATTTCTTGCACGTAACCACATGAGAAAAAAAATTCCTTTCAATGGAAATGATGAAACTTAAGTTCTTGCATTACGTAGTCCTTCATCAGGGCAAAGCAGAGGAATGTGAAATGATGGTGGCAGAGGAGAGCAAAGGCACAACCCAGGAATGAAACACCCAACTTAGGAATCAAGCCCACGGTGTTCTGGCTTTCACACCAACAGTAGCTGAAAGACAGCTTGGAAAGATCCTTGTTCAGGCAACCGTGTGTGTCTCACCGAACGATGCGGCAGGGACAAAGGCACAGCATCAGGAGTGAATCTAAACCATCTGTTAAATGTCATCATGCACAAAACGTGTTACTGCATTAGCTCCACATCCAGGCATTCGGATTCACATTCCGGCTGGGATACTAAATAAAGAGCAGAAAACTCTTAAGCTAACAGAACAGAAATATTAGGCATAATAAAAAAAAGGCTTGCAATTAATTACCCTGTTCAGAAAAAAGCCAGAAGGGGGTTAGCAGACAGGTATCACGTGCCAAGATTGATACTAAGCTGTCTGGGGTTTTGCAAAAACAGGTTTCAAAAACCCTGAGGTGGACCCAGAGCTGGAACAGCTGAGCAGGACCCAGATGACTGGCAAAGAAAAACAAACTTCTTTTGGCACTGGGAAAAACTCTGAGTTTCCCAGAGCAAGGTAATGCCATTACTATTCTAAATACCTGCTCAAAATTACTTGAAGCACAAACCCACCCAGAGCAAGGTAATGCCATCGCTATTCTAAATACCTGCTCAAAATTACTTGAAGCACAAACCCAAGAACTCAAGGCCTGAAGACACTCACTTTTATAACAGTTTTATTCAAGTCTGTGTGCTCTAGTGTTGAGACAAGGCCTAGATCAGCATTACACTGTAATACAATAATTTTAGCCATTGAACCAAGCCTGCTTGGCATCCTTGGTTTACAATTTACAGTACATCCAAAAAAAGAGCAAAGAGAAAAGAAATCCCAAAACGCCAACAACTTCCATTAGCTCTTTGCTTCACTTAAATATTGTTCTATAACATAAAATAATTTAATACAAAAAAGAACTGTAATCCAAATACACATAATACATTGACACAGAACAGAGGAAAGATACAGTAGATTATGCACAAGAGTATTCAGTTGATGTGTTACCTACAGTGAAACAAACTGGACATTAATATAATTTAACTATTTAAGCCCAAGAGGGTCAGAGGCAACAAGTCCGGGTCACAAATAAAGCTTTTTAAAAAATAATGCAATCTTCTTTTCCTCTAAGCTTACTGCTGTACAGAAGTTAAAGGAAGGCTCCAACAAATCACTTAATTTGACAACATTTCATCACACGAACAAGAAAAACTTGGTGGCCTCTGTTATTTTACTCAACTCTGGGGTACGTTACCATTTGCTAATGTAACTGCTTCATTGCAGGTTCTTCAGGCAAAACATACCTTCAGGTGCTACTTCCATAGCAACAGACTTTTGAACACCACGAACAGAAGAGAAGACATACAGAGGTCTCCAAAATCAGACTGAAATACTTAAGTTGTAAGATGAATCCCAGTCCTGCAGAGTTTGGAGTTCCTTATGAAGTACCCAACACCCTCCACACAGTGATTTCAACACGGCAGGAACTATCTTGTATCTCAAAAAGAACAGACATGGGGGCATGATCTTACACTAGAGTAATCTACTCACCTGGTTCTTCAGATTTACAACATTATACCTAGGAAAGTCAGGTCACTGATTTTTGCATCTGGCTTTAAATAGAAGCAGGAGCAGATCCACAATTAATAAGGCAAAAGAAAGAAGTAGCTTATAAAAAGGAGGAGGAAATACATTCTCTGGCTGAGAAATTCTTGGACTTTCAAAGCCACAGAGGAGACATTTTTAAAAGCACAGGTATTTTCCCTGATTTTTCCACCACTGTTGCCTGGCCCACTCCATATAAGCCTGCCAACTGAAGTCAGGCAAAATATCTCAGATATTTCCAGCTTATCCTGAATTTTTGACAAAGAAATCATATATACCAGCACAAAGCGCTGTGCCAACACGGCAGGAACTGATAAACAAGCTGATAAACAAGAACCCATGAACTCTAGTAACAGTGGTGGATGTTGATCACTGCTGAACTTGTCAGGTCTGTTCACCAGCCTGGAGGGATGCATTTTTGAAATGAGAAAACACACCTGAGGAAAGGCCTCAGGTTAAACTGACATTTGCACGTACGACCTCCCCACACCACGTACGGCCCCTTTACTGCTGGCAATCTGCTAATGCAGAAGTTGTTGATCTTTCCTCCTGTGTCAGAAAACATTCTCCAAGCTTACCCTGTTTTACGGTAAGAACTAGCAGTCAAAGAGGCATGGCATGTGCAGTCATGGAAAGGCCACAGGAGTCAGCAATAAAACCAGCATTTACTCAGAGGCTTGTGAAGGAAACTCTTTCCTCATGTAAATCGACTCTTTCCTCTGACAATCAATAGAGCTCGGTCTTTCACCATTAATCTCTACAATCCCCCAGTTTAGATTTAAAGAGCTTTGCTGAACTGGGGTCTCGTACGTTTTGACCCACAGATACATTCCATCGACTTCAGTGATGGTTAAGAACGTGATGATGAGCTTACTTGCATTGAGGCCTCTTCCCTTTTCACTTGAAAGTTAATTACCCTAAATATGAACTTTTATTAGTAGATGTTCTTGGCTTGATGTGACTTCTTACTGTAACTGCCAAATATAAGGGGCACAGCTACCTACTGACTTTAAGTGGATCTAGGTATATTCTCCACTTCAAATGTAGCCATCCCCCAAAGAGACCTATGCTGCACGAGAATGGATTTTACTCCCTGCCAAGACCAGTGGCCAAACTCAAACCGTTCAACCGGCAAACACTCCTGTGCTTTTTTTTTTTTTTTGCTGTGGCTTTATTCTTTACTGTCTAGGATTACAGGATGCTATGGTTGTCAAGATAACCTTGAAAAACAGAGCAATGGCAGAACTGATGCAGTAACACCTGCTTGAGATGCAGTGAGAACAGTCAGCTCAGAGGTATTAGCTGCCCAAACTTGGACACAAATGCTAACCCTGTTGACACCGTAAGAGCTGCTCACTAAGGCATGCAAGGCAGAAGAACAAGCCTGCTATGAATATCTGGGCAATCAGTCGAGTCATTTCGTGACACAGATCGAGCCTGGGAGAAAACACATTACACAAGTTGAGAAGTGGCCACATCCATAAATTCCAGAAGAACCCAAGGGAGAAGCTCAGTTCTCCTCCAGATGTAGATAAACTCAAGAAGCTCAGTGTGCAACTGAGCTACACCAAACAGTAATCAGAGGCCAGGTTTGTTCTGAAACTCAATAAGGAGAAACTAAATACAAGCATTCCCAAAGAACTTGTTCATTTATATACTGAAATCTGCTGTTAGCAGTCTTCTTATCAATGAAGCTTGGAAAAACACCAGCATGTCTTCCTGCTCTATTATAACCTCTGCTGCCAAGAGAGCAAGACACAAAAGCACCAGGACATGGCTAGAGCAATGTTTCTTCTTTCTCAAACCCATGTATCTCTCTTCAAGACAAGGAGGTTCGCGTTACCCAACCTCAACATCTCTTCTTTAGAAAATGCTATATTGGAACTATCACAGTAGAACAGGGAGACAGTGTCAATCAATCTGAAATAGCATATATAAAATGCATTATTCTAGTCTTACGTTGGAGTTTCAACCAACAACTTTTGAACACAATGTAGATTCTCACTAGCTATCCTGGCAGCTAGAATTTGAGCATGGACAAGGCCGTAGCAAAGTATTTATGAATAATGAAGCCTGCCCCTTCCCCCATGATTGCTTTTCAAATCATTTATTTTAAGCAAATAAAACTTTGGCATCCCTCCTGCAAATTTCTTCTAAGCACCCTTTTGCTAGCTGTGCATCCATCTGACCCCTCAGCTACAGGTCTAACAGTAGCACACTTCAAGCTGAGCTTATAAACCCACTACATTACACACTAAAAACGTGTCGAGGTTTCTTAGTATTAGCCACATTGGGCTGTCTGCACATTATTAGCATTCAGATGCAATAAGGACTGTACTAGGATCGGGTACATTAGGAAAACAACTCTGCAAATACAGGGAAACAGTCAGGATTGTGTGTAGGTGCACTTTAAGAGCACATGAGAATATTAAAAAAAAATAATCTGTTTTCTAAAAAACAGACATTCACTTTTAAAAGCTGTAGCAACCAATATGAAATTACCACCTTTTTGGTCTGTGGACAATCAGCTCTTCCACAGGTCAGAAACCACCAATAAAAATGCCCTGCCTTGTTATTAATTGTTTATTTTGGAGATAGACATAGTAAAAGCAAGTATAATCTTAGAAAACTGAATTGCTGGCTTTATTATTCCATCAGGAATTTGCACGTTAGAGCCAAATACAAGTGTTTGCCTCTGTCCTCCCATCATTCCAGTTTTAATTGCCTACCTAGAACAATTCTTACCCAAACTTATGCTTTCTTCCCAATTCCATCCCTAGAAATGAGGTAGTAAAATAAAACAAGCCAACCAGAAATTAAGTAACTACACATTCCTCAAATTACTTACCTGTGATGCCAAGAAATTACCAAGCAGCTCGTACCCCTCTGTCCTCTGACTGCTTAAGAAGGATAATTTCACTCTTTTATTCGCTATTTCCTGCCAACCTCTGCTTTAACTTCTCCCAGTTGAGTTTTATACTTCTAGCCTGGAAACATTTTTAGGTCAAAGCACACTGAAAACAAGGATTGGTTTTTGTCTCAGGTCCCCAGGTACTATGGCAACAAGAATTAACAACCTACAAAGATGGGATGGGGCAGAATTCTAATTGAGAGATGAGGAGAACCAGCGATAGCGCACTTCTTTCCACAGGGGTGTATGCACATCAGTAAATGGGAGGATATGAATTGTTTATTGTGCTGGTATTTGGCCTGATGTGTGATGAAAAAAGCTACAGAACCGGAAACTACAACCAGGCGTTCCCTCCAAAAAGCCACCTCAGGACCCAGCAAGGAGGCATGTGAGAGAGAAGGCACCTAGGAACACAGGATGCACCTAACACATACACAGGTATTTCACAGGCTTGAAAAAAACAAACCAAAACCCAAACAGTTCAAGGAACCTTCCTCAGTAGGAAAATTATGTTCCTAGCCATTTAGAACCAAAGAAAAAAAGATTTTTCACTCAAGTACAGCAGGAGATGAAGCTTGTTTCTTGTCTACAAACACAGATGAAATGCTGAAGACTTCCCAGGTGCAAAAGAAGGGAGATCTTTGTTACAGGAACAATGATACCAGTAGCTGCATCAGACCCACCACCCAGTCACCAGTGGGAAATTACCTCTTAATTAAACACACACACCGCTTAGCCTGGGAATGACTACTTTTAAGATACAAAAATAAAGCTGATGTAGGTCATTTCAGAAACTGTATTAATCTCTGATCAATGGCAAAGCTGCTTAAAAAAGCTGAGCATGAGAAAAAACAAAAGCAAATGCACATTTTAACTACAGCATGTGATTTTCTACCAGCGCGTTCAATAGAGGGAGCAGCAGAATATGCCATAAATGCTTTTCCATACTGCCTCATGAAACTGTGAAAGCAGGGCTGAGGAAACAATAAACATAAGTTCTTCTCTAGACTCTTTTGTTTGTTAACCACAAAAAAAAAAAAAGGAAAATCTAAACCACAAACTGGATTGGAAATGGAAAAAGACAAAAAATTTGGTTAAAGATCCTTTCCTGTCCAGCCAGATACAATACCACTGGCTGTGCAAACCACCATATTCTAATCCTACAATAGGAAATTTAATTTAACAGAATAGCATAAGGCAGCATTCTTTCCTAAAAGTATCTTAATTATATGATCAACCAGATGTCTGTGAAGTCTAAAATTTGGTTACCCTCTGTGACAGCATGTTTTCGTTCTCTTTGTACATACATGCTCTATTTATTGCTTGTTTGCAAGTATGTTTTACACATGCCTATCCCCTTACTCTTACTGTCCAGTTTTACCCAAATTATAGACTTGAGTGAGTTATAAATATAAAAGCTAAGAAACTGCTTTGCAGTGATAGGATAAGGATCAGAAAACTTCATTTCTAAATATAGGCATCCTTGTCTCGAGCTGAAAAAAGTGAAACCAAAAGGAGGACCTGTATCACCCTGCAAGATAAAAGCCTTATTTGCCACAGAGTTGATAAGAGCTCTTGAGAATATTTCCTAAATGCATGGAAAAGGTTAGAAAGCAGTAAGCACTTCTTCCACAAAGAGAGGTTTCAAAAACCCCAAAAGAAACAAACCCCGTGATATTAGCTTAAAATGACTTACAAAAGTAACAGACTATCCTTGAATTTTGGGATACAGTATTAGGTTTGGTTCCATAAATCTAATGGGACTCCAGCTCCCATATTCATCCCACAGAGATGAATTAAGTTTCAAATAAAAGTTAAGGTCAAGATAGAAAGGTGACTCACGATGGAAGGTTTCCTGTCATTTTCTATTTAACAGAATACTCTGGATGACAAACACCTTTATTTACTTGACCATTACTGCCTCACCTTCAACAGAAAGAGAGGTATCCGGCATCACGAAAAATCGAAGTAACATCTCTATGCAGTCTTGTCCATAAAGTCTTAAAATAGCAGCATGCTATGAAGAGGAAGACAACTACTCCCATTCCTAGAGGTACAGAAAAATACTTCATCATAAAAGCATGCCAAACCAGAACTGGTCTTTCCACATCAATAATGAAAAATTCACTTCTCTAACAAAATGAGTATTTTCAAACCATTACAAAAAGAATATTTTCCTGAGGTTCCCTGCCCCATACTGGGCATCAACCCACTGCAATAATAATCTCATGGAAAAAACCAAACCCATAAAAAGTTACATTTGCACCTCTAAAGAGTATTGAAGGGAGATAAGACTACTTGCTGGCAAAACAGAGCACTGTGCAGTCCATAGGAAGCAACAGTATTAGAAAAAATCCATAACTATTATCACTTTAGTTTTGACACAAAAGCTTTCTTCTCTCTACCTGTCCCACACTCAACTTCTGTGAAACCAGTAGAAATTTATCAAAGAATTTGTCATTTTTGCACTGGTTGCTATGTCTGTGCTTTCCTTCCAACTTTACAGGAAAAACAAACAGGCTACAAGGGCAGCATATTTTGAAGGGCTGGCAATTTTTTTTCTATTTCCTAAATCAGCACATCAGTAACATAAATTAGTAATATATACTGCCAGCTGACTATTTGAAAGAAAATACATATCTATTTCCAGAACAGAAAATTCTCAGCAACAATCTTACTACTATCAGTTAAAAAATTTGTCACTTCTTTAACATATTTTACCCCATTCTTTTGTCATTATGTTTGAGACTGCTCAGTGATTTTGTGCTCTCTTCTTATCTTTTTCTCATTTTCTCAGAAAGAAAAAAGTGCAACTTATTCAGATATTTAAGAAACAATATATTTATTAGATTTTTTTTTTATAGCAAGATTTTCACCATCTTCCTCAAGAACACTGCTAGAAAGGTATGTCAATTAACATAATTATGAAACTTGTCTCATTGACAAATGGGAATACCAGTAACCAGTAGAAAAAAAAGATTTGTGAGCTGACTGGCTCGTATCTTCTCAGTGTCTTGTGGACTACAGTGAAGCCCTCTTGTTGGAGATCTGGAGCACCTCAGCTCCCACAGCTGGGAAGGAAAAAACCCAACAGATTAAGGAAGGAGAGAAATCAAGCCAGGATGGGAGAGGTTAGGATCTAGCTCAAACACCCACAGAGCCTCTGGCCTCAGGACACCAGTTGCAACAGCTTTTGGGACACATAAGGTAAAACCCCAGACAACTCTTTGCCTTGAGAGCCCCCCTCTGCCTGTCAGAGAATACCCCACCACCTGCTGAAATGATAGCAACAGACTGCTCTTGCCCAATACCTCAGAGGTTAGTCACAGGGCTCCCGACTGGAAGACAGTTATGGGTTGGTGCTTAAAGACTACCTCATTTTATTTCACATGCTAGGTTCAATGAAGGTAATTGCATCCAAGGACTGTTTAAAAAAAAAAAAAAAACAAAACCAAACAAATCCAAAAGAAAACACCACACCAAACCCACACAAACCCAAATTATGCTTCCACCTAGTCTTTCTGGCAGCTTTGCAACAGGGAATACCTATGTTGGAAACCCTGATCTAGAGCCTTGACCCCTTGTCATCAATCCTGCCCAGTTCCTTTGATGTAGCAATGTCCATTTTGTGTTAGGAAAAATGCTCTCTAGAGCATAATACCTCTAATAGGTCAGCTACACTCCACCTTCACCAAGTGACTACCTCAAGGGGAGATAGGGGGAAGGGGTTTTGATAGCTCATCCTCAACTTTCCAAAGCAAAAGACGTGCCAGAACAACTTGGCTTTGGAGCTGTCTTGCTTGCTGGAAACTTGACAGAAACCTTACTTGATGAAAGCAACTCATGAACTATGAGGAAGCTTAGTGGTCTGAGTTAAACCAATGTGACCTAGAAATGTAACCTCCCATTCCACACAGGTAAATGGGTGTTAAAAGATTTCTGATTGAATGGAGCTATTCCAGATGATGTCTTTGCAAAGCAGAGGATGCTTGCTATGACTTTTGTAATTATACTTTTGGCATAGAAAACATTACATATCAGAACAGCTCATCCAGTTTTGTTTCAGACTTTTTAGAATAGTAAGACAGACTAGGAAAACCACATAATTTTAATCTCCTGCTTCATGTCCCTCTGACTGGGCTTTCCTTGCACTTATTTCTACACCACAATCGAAATGAACCATCTGTTTGGATAGGTTTTGCCTTTTTCTTTTTTTAGTTTCAGGATCACAAACTGAGTTTTCAGAAATGGAAAGCAATAGGATGAATGCTTAAGAAATCAACAATGTTAAAGATTTACATTTAACAAAAGTGCTGGAAACGTAAGCATCTTAGCCCCACCCCAGAATACCTTGTCTACACAGTCAATAGCCTATCCAGCCTCAGCAGCTAGCACGGCGTTATTCAGGCCAGCTCTGCAGCATTCAATAGGAAAGTAAAAAGTACTTCTGCCATTAAACACATTTCATGGAACATGATAAACAAGAAATGAGTGACCTTTCTACACGAAAGCATACTGCAACCGCTTGAGATAAAGGGTGCACTTGACTAATGGCAACATGCTGGTTTCTAGACCTCAAAAAGAATTAAAGAAAATTAAGTACAGTACTTCCCCACACATGCTGGTTTTTAATATGAGGTTACAAACATCTAAACACTCAGGTTCTCTGTGCTGACAGCTGCAGGAAAGTATTCATCTTCACTGCCTAGGGACTGGACTTCCCTAACAGGTTGAGCGCTGCATTGGCAGCACTTTCAAATTGGTTATTTGCACCCAAATGGTCAGTCCATTAGCAAAACGAGCACAGATCTGTACAAAAAGAATGAACAGACACTCTGTACCCTGCAATAAAGCAGACTACCCTATTACACTCGCATAAAGGCCACGCACCTTATTTATCTTGCCAAAACTGGGAAAGAGTGAAGCTGTCACCAAAGCCATTAAGATGCACCTGCAGAGACACGGACACCCTGGCAGCCTCTGTGCAGAAAGCTGTGAGCACAGGCACACCTGATCTGTGTGACCTCCTCCTTCAAGACAGGTTCTTGCTCCAGGATGAGGAGTTTTTACATATTTGAACAAGAATAAAGTTTTACATGTCTATAGTGCCTTTCACTCAAAGATCTCAAAGGACTTTATACCTATTACTTCTGTCCCAACCCCTCCCCCTGTGAGGTAGGTATTATCCCTATTATTTACAGATGGGGAAATTCAGGCACAGAGGTTACATTATTTGCCCAAGGTCACACAGTGAGTAAGTGACAAAATAAAACAGAATTCAGATGTTCGGATTCCTGTTTGCACAATCCAACACAAGCCTCAGTTTCAAAAGAGCCATAAACAATTATCAGTGTGCATAAGAACAGTCTTGGGTTTCAAGGACCACTCCTAAAAAGCATAAGAAAGGAAGAAAAGTAGGAAGAAAAAAACGAGGGGACACTTAACTTACTGCTGAAAGCTAACACAGCTTCAAAGAAAGAGTTCCTGCTGATTCCCTTCCCAAAGCTGAAGCAGCTTGACTACTGAGCCTGGGACACAGGGAGTGGGAAAACGAGGCTGATGGAATCAAAGTTTGAAACAAAAAAGCAAGCTAGAATAAACAGCCATACCATAAAGCCCTTGTCTTTTTGAAAGCACAGGGTCATAGAAAAATAGGGCTGAGAGGGACCTCAAGAGTTCACTGAAGTCCATCCAACCTGCCTTGAAGCCAGGATCAACTGCACCTACTCATTCCCAACAGCCTAGTTGGTCTGTTCTCAAAGACCTCCATCAGTTGAGATGCCATGCCCTTCCTCTGCAATGTTCCACCTTGCACTATCACATGAGCAAAAGAGGGCAAGCGAGTGTAAGACAGATACTTCTGCTCCTTCAGTGGGGGTACCATGATTCCCAGGCCTATCTTATGAACTGAATACATTTCAGAGAAGGTATTCTCCAGATATTTACTTGTTTCTGTCCTGGACTCCTTGGGAAAACATCAAACACTGGTGTCTGCTGTAGTGTAATATTTGAGTTTTGAAAATACTGATTAATACCAGCATAGATACCAATATACTTACTGCAAGTGCCAAATCCTGCAAGGTCAGTAACAAAGACTTTGATATGATAATTTTAGCTCATTGCAGATTCAAATTGCAACAAGAGGGCAGGGAAGACTACAGAAAAACCCCACAGCAAAAGTCAGCAGCTCAGAGTTGCCAAGTTTCATCCAACTGCAGACAAAAATCAGGCAGTCAAACAACAACACATCTTCAGCAGAGGCAGCACCGTATGATCTCTGTAGCATCCCTCCATCTCATCTGTCTTCAAAGTGCATTCTCAGTGCAAAAAGTAGGATTGAATTTAGAGGGGCTCGCCGTCCCCAGTGGATTTCATACTAAGACCAGAATTCTTGCTTGAGTTCATATGCTGCAGCTTTGTGTGTGTTAAGTTCACTTCTGCATAGCGGAATGGTGCTGTCCTGGCTCTGCCCCTCAGCATCTATGTCCAACAGTGTCCGCTCCTCTACAGGAAGACCCACCTGGAAAGGAAGCAGCGCAGGCAGTCCAGGTCTCTCTTCTACAGTGCTGCTGCTACTAGCAAAACAAGAGTCCAGATTGCTTGGAGTATCAGTACTTGAACTGTTGGCAGAAGATTCACCCTTGGCATTGCTGGGTGACACAAACCACCAGGGATCAAGCCGCTGCCGACTGGCTGCAGGACGTGGCCGGGGCAGGAACTCCAATGTCTTGGGTCTTTCCAGTGTGGGGTCCTGCTGTGCATTCCACCGTCTTGGGGTTGGAGGAAAAACAAGGTTGGGGTCTGGCAGGCGAGGGACCTCATTGGGATCTCTACTTGGACTAGGTGTTTTTAATACACCTATCCAAAACAGAGAATGTAAGAGAAGAGGGAAACACGTTAGATGTCACTGCTAAATGGTTCCAACAGATCTTAGTTACTGTATGTATACTGTGAAAATATTTTCAAAGCAAAAAGCCTCCGTTCAGAACCTACAAACTCCGTATCTTCAAGATTACGCCAATCTGAAGTGAATAATTGGCTTCTTTCCCCCTAACACATTGCAAGACACCTGTTTGAATGTCCTACCACAAGCAGCAAATTCTGTTTAATTCTCTTATTTGTTCTCTTCAGATTCCAGACTGGAGAGCACAGATTTAACCTCCTACCAGAGGTGAGGATTCTCCAAATCCTTCAGAGGGCACATTACACCTTAACAGCTTGGCTGGATCTGGGAGACACTTGCACAGCAGGATACATGACACAGCGTAGCGGCAGGACCAGCCTCCTGGACAAGCCATTTAACACTGCCTACTGTGGATGCTTCCTGTTTTGTTTTTTTTTGTTTAGAGGGGTACAGTGGGGGTGCTGGTTTGGGGTTTTTTTGGTGTTATTTTTGTGGGTTTTGTTTGTTTGTTTTTTAATAAACACAAAATAACTTTTAAATTTTCATGAATATCATTTTAATGAGTATTCTCAGCTGCATTAACCCACATTTTACTGCAGACTGCCATTCAACAGGCAACCTCACATTTTGTTTTACCATTGGGAAAAGTCTAATTAAAATCAGATTTTAATTTATTATTCTAGTCTTTTTTTTTTTTTTTCCTCTGAATTACTAGGGCAAGAAAACAGGAAAGTATTTTTGAAGTTATCAAGTCACAGCCACCCCTAAAGACTGCAGCAGTGAGAACACTACCTACCCAGGAAGATCCCTCTTGCTTGCAAAGGAATAAGAGCAACAGTGGCATATCCCCAAACTGTGTTAAAGATCTAGTTTTCACTGCCTTAAAGATCAAAAATTACTTTGAAAGTGTAACAGCAATACAAAAATGTGTATAAAGGCAATGGAGATGGAGTTCCTTGAGGAACTCCTAAAAATGTGCATTATTTGTACTTTGGTACCATCTTTGTCTAAGAAACAATACGATGCTCTGCCTCACAGCGCAGGGGAGCAGAGAGAGTTCAGTTTCTTAGCGCAGAGATGCAGAACAGAGACCATTACTGCATTATTCTGTTCATTATTTGTGTAAAGACAACATCCAAAAGCTCTTCTTGTGGGCTGGCCATCACAATGGAGGCTGCAGAAGTAACGCATTTACTTCCTACCAAGTAATTATACTGTTTGGGTCTTTATTCTGAAGGGGAAAAGGAAGAAGGCTGAAAACCTACCTGCTCCCAGTGCTCCAGTTAAACAGCTACTGGAAGGGCATCCACTGGTTGGGCACCCATTGACAACTAGTCCATTCCCTTTGATGGCCCCATCAGAAGGTGTGCGCCTGTGCCCGCTTTGCTGGGTGTGGGAAGAGAGCGTCACGTGTGTGGGGGTCAGGGACTGGTTGGGGTCTTGTTTGAACCTCTCAATCTGGACATTGACTAGCGGGTTGGTAATGGCTGGCAAGGGAGCCTTGACTGTCACCGGGCTGACGGGCATTTCATACACCACAATCTCATCACTGTCTGAGCGCAGCAGGGACCGGGTGGAATTACATTCGGAAATGGAAGACAGGGAAAGAAGGGTGAGGGATGTGGATGGCTCGCCTAGCAACAACATGGGATCCTCCTTCTTGAAGATCTTTCGGGAAGGTGGACTAGTGCTCCTGCGCGGGCGCCCAGCTCGCTGGAATATGCTGTCACGCTTCTTCTTCTCTTCCTTGGGTGCCTCTGGCTCCTCCTCAATCAGCAGCTGACACTTCCCTGCTTCTAACAGGTCAAAGCCCAGGCCTGCAGCAGCCAGCACTGCTCCACAGCCAAGCAACGCAACCTCGCATCGCTTGTGGTGGGAGCCACTACGTTTGAGGCTGTTGGTGGGTGTCAGCTGCGGGGTACTAGTAGCAGAGTTCACAGGGGTGGACTCCTCATTGGCATCACTAGAAGGACCATCCCAGTCTTCATTCTTCTGAAATGGGATGCAGAGGTATGACTGATTGTGCCCTGGCGAAGGGTGCACTTTGCCCTCCCCATTGAGACATTCGCTGTCTTCATCATCTGGAAAGCAAATGAAAAGAGACTTTGCGTGGCTGTAACACTTCCACTGGCAAATTTAGCTGTCTTACAAAAATAGGCTTTTCCTCAGAAGATGCAACTGTCCTCATTGCAAGCATCAATCACCACCTGCCAAATACTCACAGTCTATTGTCTCCAAAGCAGATAGGCCGAGGAAAGTAGCTGGAAACACTATCAAAGTGGAAGAAATTAGTGACACTTTAATCTATTTGGGATCAATTGCACAACAGCATTTCAGAAGCAATCTACACCTCAGTTACTTCTAGAGTAAATTTACATCTTGGGGAGTAAGGAGCAAAAGGTAGGAAAATTAGAAGGATCTCTCCTTGCAGGTGAAGGTGTAACCATGCTGCACATCTAAATATCATTAACAGGAAAGGAGCTGAGAGGTAGCACGGAGCTAGAGGGGAAATAAAATAGGTGGAGGTCAGGAAAGGAAACATTCATTCAAACATGAAGGAAAGTGGGGATGAGAATACAAAGTCCAGGGAATTTCTTTACCTATCTCTGCTAAGCTGGTGAATCCTGGAAAAGCAGGCGCAGTTCTCTGGATCTTCCCAAGGTTCGGTGCACTGGATGACCACTGTTTGTATCCTTCTACCAGAGCTTTCAGACTGAAATAGTAGAAAGATGGGACAAAATGTACCATGCTCACAACCAATTTTCATTCCCCTCTTCTATATTCTCTATTGTTCTGCTTAGGGTATCCACCTTAATTACACAGATGTGAAGTCGTCCCATAGCAAGACATTTTGCAACATCTTAAAATATAAAAAAGGTCAAAAAGTCCCTCTCATTTGTTAAACCATGGCAGTCAATAGACCTTTGCTGATAACCAACAGCTATGAATGCAGAATAATAGAAAGCACAACAAAAAAATCAGATTTTCTTTTTAAACCAAGGCAAATTTAGCATGGCAGGTAAAAAATGAAGTGCTCAGCAGAAGGAGGGGAAAAAATATCTTCAAAAGCATTTCCATGTGAAATACTAATGAACAATGGAAGTCAAAGATCACTCACTGGAACAATAATATGCTAACGTCACTGTAACAGCAAAGTCATGCCTCTATACTATAAAGCCCAGTATTTCTCCTTTAAAGAAAACACTCCATTGAAATACAGAGAGTTAAAAGTATAAGTTCTAGATTATGGAAAAATAGGTAACTAAAATCATAAATCACGTCATTGTCTCTTTTACTTCCAGAAAAAAAAAACCACAGCCCACAGAAACAAACAAGTCAAAAACCCCAAACCAAATCCCCAAACACTCCATTGAAATACAGAGAGTTAAAAGTATAAGTTCTAGATTATGGAAAAATAGGTAACTAAAATCATAAATCACGTCATTGTCTCTTTTACTTCCAGAAAAAAAAAACCACAGCCCACAGAAACAAACAAGTCAAAAACCCCAAACCAAATCCCCAAACACTCCATTGAAATACAGAGAGTTAAAAGTATAAATTCTAGATTATGGAAAGATAGGTAACTAAAATCATAAATCAACATCATTGTCTCTTTTACTTCCAGAAAAAAACCCCCAAAGTCCACAGAAACAAACAGGTCAAAAACCCCAAACCAAATCCCCATTTTGATATCACCTGCATTTAAAGGTATGTCACCAGACACCTGAGCTTATTAGTAGTCCCTATTCATAGGTATTCATTACCTTCATCCTATTTTTCCCCAGACTACTTGCATGACATCAGAAACATCTTTAGTAAGCAGCACAACCCGCTGACATATCAACACCCAGAAAAGTTTTACTGTTCAGTTATCAACATACTTCTTATTGAAAGAAAACTTAGGAGATGAGACATCTTCCAGCTCTGTTACTAACTGGCCTTGTTCTTTGATAAGACATGCAATTCATTACAATCCTTCCCTCACAGAGAAAGGAGGATATGAGCATATAGAAGTTGTTGCTCATGATCCTTAATTTCCACCAGAATCACTCTGCATTTCTGAAACGGCTTCCATTGCTGGATTTCAAAGTTTTATTATCTCAAGGGTTTTTTGCCTTGGTATGTATTTTTCCTCTATTCTCTACCTGAGATGCCCTACTCATCACCAAAGTATATTGCTATAGCAAGGTCACAAGGTCTAAGCTTGATTCAGCACTTGTTCAGTTGGTCGATGACCATGCTTTAGGTATTACACTAAAAGTATCCCGTGCAGTTCTCAGCTGTCTTGAAAGTCCATCATTTTCCCCCCATTAACCATTCTGGCACATGCAGCACCCTGCTATGAACCTGCAACCAGACAGCTGAATCCTACTTGTCAATACAGACAACCAGATGGTTTTACAACAGAGATGCAATTCAGTGTGTCAGTCTGTTCTGATCTGCTTCCTCCATACTATGCTCAGCTACGTAACACAACCCACCAAATAATGTATGTTGTACCTAAATTATCCATGTGTACAACATACACAGTTAGGATAAATACCGTAAGTAGAGCAGCACATTAAGGGAAAGTTGGTGGGTGAAAATGAACCATGTTAGCAGTGTGATTACCTCCAAAAGTAAACGGTGAAGCTCTTATGAGTAGACAGCTACTGGGGAGGGGGAGATTTCCACGGAGCTGGGAAAACATATACTATGCTCTCTATATGCAGAGATAGCAAAGTGGTAAGTGGTAGGCAGCAGTAATCTTCAGTTTAGCCTTCACTTTACAGTCACAGTTATCTTAAGGGTCTTGGGAATTGCCCCTTATTGTACAGCAGGACACATCAGCTTAGTTTGCTTCCTTAAGACTTCTCAGAGCAATCATCCCTTGCAAAAGTCACATTAAAGATTTGCTGTTACTGAAAAAGCACAGCTCAATCTGAACAGAAAGATAAATAGCTACCAGAATAATTTCAAGACCTGCTACATTTGCTTTAAGGTTATAAAATATTTATCCTTCCCTTTTATTTTTTGCTCCTTCTCTCTCCCAAATTACAAGCAGACCCCGAAGACGTGTGCGGAGGATAGCTACACAACCTCTTAATTAGACAGTACTGCTCATTTGAAAACAATTCAAAACATGCTGACTTAAGAGTATGCTCCTACTACAGCAGTATTGTCTGTTACTGCTCCAAGGAAAAGAACAACTGGAATGATTTAAAAGCACTAGCAGCAAAACTATCTATTTCAGTTACCAGCATGGCAATTCAGGACCCTGAAGACTTCTTACCTGTAATCTACTTAGATTAAATGACAGGAAGGCTATTACTCTGCCTGTTTTATTAAGGTTGAATTACTTCTCTGTTGCCTTTTCCTATTGGGAAGTCAAAAATACCTCTCTTTAGAACTGATAAGGTGACAAGTCTCAGAAAATTGCAAAAAAAACCAAACTTCACTACAACTCTAAGATGGCACCTCTGGTGTCTTAATACCATTCTGTAACACCATGTTGAGGCATTAATACAATACTGTCATATTGCATATGTGAATAAAAAGTGTCTGTTCCAAGGCTCACCCCTATGTAGCTTGCAAGATTTTAAGCACTAACTGCTAAAGGACTATGACTATCCCACATCCAGTATCACCTTCCGTAAAATCAGTAACTTACCCATACCAGAGTAACTCTGAGATTAATCAATGCCAAGTTTAAAGACAATTAATATTTCACCATATATCCTTCAGAATATATCACATGATCACAACTGAACTGTCATAATGCTAGCCCAACATAAAGCTTCATCCAGTCTCCACAATTCAGCACAAGAACCTTCTGCTGCTGTTCCCATTCCTTATGCTCAAAGATAAATGCAGAAGGGTGAATAATCACTGTATAACCTTTTAATGACTGCCTTTACTTGATATTAATTATAGGTCAGTTTACTCATGCTAGAGAATTTCACTGCAATTCCCACTGCACGTCTTGCCTAAATTTGGAATTACCTCCTGTGCAGAACACACGGAAAATGACAAAAAAGATGAATCTTCATGTTCCCTTGATCACAGAGTCATGTAAGCAAGTGGAATAGCAGCACTGCTGCTACCAGAGCGATGTCATGGAGAAGACTTAAACTGAACTTTTCTATCCTAAGTTTAGGTCTTAACTTTACTCCAATTTTAATCCCCCTACCTCTAAAGCTAGAATTAAAAAACACCAAAGATAGCAAGCACTCTACCTTTTGAGTCACTAATGTTTACTGCAACTCTGCTCCCTTGAAATTAAAGTCTGCAGTCTGGCATGATCTCAGCAAGAAGCAGTACTTCATTGTATGTTAATCACACTGCCCTCTCGGCAAAACTATCGTATTATGACACCCTGCAAAACACCACAGCTGTATTGAGTCTCCCTGGAAAAGGTGATGAATACTATAGAACATCTCCGTTGTAGAGAGAACAGGACAGTTTTAAAAGCAAGCATAGTTACCAAGCAACTCCTTTCCAGCTGTCTGTGCCCAAAAGCAATTTAGTGCTTCAGACTGCACAGTAATGAAGAGAAAACTGAAGAGCCTTATTCCCAGAATTCTAAGAACATGATTTCAAAGCAGAAGTGTTTTTCTATCAGCTTCAGTGATGTCCTGCCCTTTTATATAATTAATGACTGGAAAGTGTGACAACTATTTTAATTCTGTAGAATGATATACTTCATCTATAGAACAGGTGAAGTATAGGCAGCAAAGAAGCTTCCTCCACATTGCCCTGTTACATGTCAAGAGTACCTTTGAGGGAGAACATATTTTAACGTCACTAGAACACTTGGATTCAGGCCCTTTTGCAGAGGACAGCAATTCTGACACATTATATAAACGTCTATTTTCCAGGAATGTCACACCTGAGCACATAATATTAAAGATAAATTATAACCAGTTATTTCATTTTCCCTGCTTACAAATATGGCAAGAGTCAAACTATCAATTTAGCAGGCAAAAAAGCTTCAAACTCCCAATAAAAATCACAAGGCATTCAAACCTCTTAGAAAATCAAAATATTCCTATGCTTAAAGCATGATCCATTGGAGTTCTGGTGTGGATAATCCACACACTCACAAAAAACAAAGCCACAGAACAAGAATCTATAGAAACAGAGGTAAAACCTGTATCTCTACAAAAATCACTTTCAGGATGTATTCACTTAGCATACGTGTCCTTTTCAAAAGCCCAAAGAAAAGATATTTGCCTGGCTCTACCAGATACTTTTTAAATAATAGGATTTAAGACAACAAAAAGCATAGCTGAGGATTGTAAAGAGAAGTAGCTTCAGATATGATATGAAGCTACAGAAAGTTGAGCCTGAAAATAAAGAAAAGCTACTAGAGAAAATCTGTCAGAGCTAGGAAGTTATACTGCTTCCAAATATATCTAACAAGGTAAAGCAGACAGTGAAAGCACCAGTGCTGAAGGGACTGACTAACAAGGGGCTGAATGCAATGCAGTTTTGTAATCTGTTCTGAATCCCTGACTTCTCCGGTAAGGCAAATAAGTTTGGAAGCAGAAAAGTGTTTCCAAGAGGATAGGCAAACCTCCTGTGAGCCAGATCATAACCAGTTCCAGAACCTGGAAACCAGTCTGGTTCCAGGCCCTCTCTTACCTCTCTTCGCCTGCACCTAGCTCCTTGTGACAAAGTGAGCTCGGTCCCCAAGTGCGTCCCTTTTTCTTCTGGCCTCTCTTCTCTTCCTCCTCTCCTTCCTCCTTTGGAAGGACTGAGCTTCGTCCCCACGTTTTACTGCTTTCAGCAGGAGTCACTTCACAAGTGGGAAGAACAGTGGAAAATGGGAAAGAAAAACAGATATACAAATTAAAGAATTTGTTCCACAGCAACATAAAGAATAAAATATAGGCTGGAACAGGAATAGTAATGAAAACATCCACTAAGGCCTCTTTCCCATAATTCTAGCCATTTATGAACACAGATCTAATAACCATATCCCTTCAAAATCAGTAGAGATAGACTTTACAGCTTTATGCCATCACTGTTTCTCTATCAGAACTGCCAGTTTGATACCAGACATACAAACACCATGACATCCAATACAAACACTACACATTCAGTACCATCCCTTCCATACTTCTAATACATGCTTGTCTGCCTAGTTCTCTTTTTTTATGTGAACCCCCTGTATTTCTTTCCTTCCAACAGTAACTTAATCCACTTCAATAATGTTTCACAGATCTATTCTGCAAGTTAGTATTTTTAAAAATTAACTTGTACACTTAAGGAATGTATTTTCTATACAATCAAATAGCAATATTTCAAGAAAGTGAGTAAGTAAAGGTTTGGTCTCCAAAGAAAGTGATACTGTCCCCCATCACCAACACCAACATTTTTCTCTCTAAATGCATACGTGCAGGGCATAAGGCAAACATGTTAGTATTTTTTAATTTTTTTATTTATTTTTACAGTCCTGTCCTAGATATAGAATCTTGGCATCTTACCACGCTGACAGACTGCACATTTCCCAAATTCAATACTACATTGAGCTCCTTACACTGTATGGCCCTGAGTCTGGGAATAATGGTAGGACTTGCAGGGGGGCTGGAGCAGCTACTGATCAAGCTTTTCCTTTTATCCATCGTTGGAGAAGCCTGCACAGTGAATTTATGCTGGAAATCTGTTTACCAAAAGAAAAAAAACAAAACAAAACACAAGAGGAAAGACACCATTAAACTTCTTCTTTTTAATATAAGAAAAAAGAAACAATAATTTATGGTAACTTTCAAAGAGTGCAATTTACAGGATCTAAGTAGAAATGAAGTGATACAGCTAATTGCCACCCCCTCGTTGTATATGCAGTTATTTCAGCACAAAGATGTGCGCTCACACTCATGAAGATATATCTTCTCAGTATATGTATGAGATACATACACACATAAATCCTCATGTGTTGACTGACATTTATGCCAAATTTATTCCTATATAAACTCCTTTCACCTTATCTCTCAGTTTCTTAAGCTAAGCAAAACCACCAGCAATAGGTGTTTACAGGCCTAAAGAAAGGCATAGTTAACATGCACTTTTTATCATCATTGCTCTTCTGAACAGCCAATCTCGCTCAGAAAACAAAGAATATAATGTAAGCCATAATCCTTGAGGTAATGAGCCTTAGGTGATTTATAAAACCCACACTTCTGTTCTTTTACAAATTTGGATCACCATGCAGAATCCACAGCAGAAATGCTAAGGATTCAGTATTTCTGAAAATCATTATCTTCACTCTTAAGAGCAACTTCCCTGACACCTCACCAATATCTAACACTTCTTCCAGAAGGGTGGTATTAGAGGTCACTTGTGTATTAGTATGAGTTCACATATGAATTAGCAATGTAGGGCTGTACTCTCACAGCTATCAATGTGTTTTCAGTGATTTTTAGATTCCTGCACTAAGAATGGTTGCTGCAGCATTATGTAAAATATTCCTAGAGCAAGAACATCTATAATTTTTTGTATATCTTTTATTAAACTGATCATTTTCAGTATTAACATGTTAAATTGCAACACCAACATTTTTTTGAACTATATACAGCCACAGATTAACAAACATGTAGTATCTCAAATTAATTTCTGGCCTTCATACTTGGAACTTTGGGGAACGGTAGCCACAAGAGCATCAAACTTAGTTTCCTGATAGCAAAGAGGCATGTTTTTCCCAAAGTACGTCCAATACTTTTTAAGGCCAAAGTATAAGTAGAAAGGAGCTACCAAAGCTACAGGTTCACCTGTTCTGATTCACCTGACACATGTCACCAACCTGAAGGCAGGCTGATATGGTTGCCATCTTTTAACTTGAGCCGGCTCCTCTTGAATTTCCCCATGCGTTTCTTCACCCGAGGCTTCTCCTGACAGAGCTGGTGGATGATGATGTTGAGCTCCCTTTCCAGGATGTCAATCTCACGTTCCGCCAGCTCCTGTTCCCGCCTTCGTAGCAACTCCTCATGGTTCTTCTGTTCAACAGCAGCACGAGTCAGCTCTTCTTCCCATGTGCGCAGCTCCTGCGGAGAGATAAGAAAGGAGAAATACCTTGTTACCTGTGGGTTAAGACTAACATCACCTATTCAGAAGATACAGCAGCAATGATTTGTGCTCACAGCACTGCTAGCACCACCGTTTAAAGGCTCAGTTGAAAGCCAAAAGCCTAAAACAATCCTCAAGAACTTCTATGCTTGCCATTCAAGGCCCTTCCTATTGGTATTAAAATTTGGACATCAGCACTTGTGAGACCACACCTGGAATCCTGTGTCCAGTTCTGGGCCCTCCAGTACAAGAAAGGAATGTACGTAGTAGAGAGAGTGCCATGAAGATGATTCTCTCCTATAAGGAAGGGTTGAGAGCGATGAGATTGTTTATCCTATCAAAGAGAAGGCTTGGCTGGGGGGGAAGGAGGATCTTATCATTGTATATAAAACCTGAAGGAAGGGTGTAAAGAAGAGAGCCAGGCTCTTTTCAGCAGTGCCAAGTGACAGGACAAGAGGCAATGGGCCCATGCTGAAACACAGGAGATTCCCTCTGAACACCTTTTTACTGTGAGCATTACTAAGCACTGGCACAGGTTGCCCAGCGAGGTTGTGGAGTCTCCATCCTTGGAGACAATCAAAAGCCATCTGGACATGGTCCTGGGCAACTGCCTCTAGGTGGTCCTGCCTGAGAAAGGGAGTTGGATGACATGACCTCTGGAAGTTCCTCCAACTTTAGCCATTCTGTGAGTCTGTGAAAAGGCACCAAATCCTAAATTCAGTGTCATGAGAAAACATGCTGGATATCTGACATGAATGTGTCTGTAAGAGCGACTGGAGAGTCCCATGCATTTGGGAACCTGTTTTGGAAGATTTATTCGTAACATTGAACAGAATTAAACCTTCTTTCCTTTTCACTAAGTACCTATATTAACTTCATTATTGACTTCAACTGTTTAAAAATAACCTTGCCATCTCATGCATCATAAAATAGCAAATCACAGAGCTCTAACATCAAAAAGAATGAAGAAAACATCACCAGGAGGTCATTCCCATCATTTTCCACCAAGCATGGCTGCTCCTTAGGCATAAAGATGCATAATGCAAACTTTTCAATCTTTCCCTTGTTGACAAAATGAATCAACTGAAATTGTCCTTGAGATCTTAAACCGTCTTCTCACTGCACTCCTCTCACCACAAGGACAAAATAATTCAGCACTCAGAATAATTATCTCCAGCTGGCTAATTCCACTGCAGAAGGTAAAAACTGAAGAATTCAACTTAAACTTCAGATAGACTATCAACAGATTTTAGTTTAGATTTTTAAATTTTTTTAATAATGTCATTGTTACCTCTCTCACCACCACAGAGGTTTGGTACATTTTACTCATGAGGTGAACAGGATATAAAATTCTCTTTCTTCATTTCTACAAAGGAATAAAGTACTCAAGACCTGAGGGCAGTCTAGCTATTCCTTTTATTCCTGCTAGCATTTTTGTTTCCTGATATTTACCCAGATGGACTTCAATTATAACAGTTATTGGACCATTCCCCTGGTAGCACTAATGTTTATTATCATCTGTCCAATTTGGCTGTGCTCAAAAGCTGGTAAACACAAACCTGACAGAACCAAAGCTGTAATGCCAGCTAGAGTGTGTATGCTGAAACTACCCCTCCTACTTTTAACTATTAACAGTTATCATCAGGCTTCTCAATTAAGATGCTAACAGTGAAATAGTTATCAGATACATTAAACAATGAAGACAACTCATAATGAGTTTACACGGTGTACAATGGCAGCTCAAATAAAGTATTAGGAAGAGTAGCAGCTCAGGATACAGATATTTCTTTTACTCATGATTCTGCTCTTGTGTGTGTATTATAACCTGCCATTGATTTGGGGACTTATTACATGCTCCAGTAAAGCACATACAAAATTAACTCTGGGATGCACTGAACAATTATCCCTGCTTGAATTATGAAACAGGAAAATTGTAATCCAGAGAGCACAAGCATGGAATGTTTTTTTCTACTTACCTTTTCTTTGGCTCTGAGCTGATCAAACATCTCCTGGATCTCTTGTTTCCAGTCTTCCTGCAGGGAGTGGAAGGAATCTTTGGGCATTTCAAAGAAACCAGACTCTTCTATGGCGGTGAGATGGTCTAGGATACTGGCAAAGGAAGGTCGTGAATGTGGGTCAGGGTTCCAACAATCTAGAATAGGACAAAGACAAGCAACTGTTAAGCATCTCTTAATATGGAGATTTGAGAGGATGAGTAGTACTTTACTGATCCCCAGTGGCTAAGAGTGGCAAACACACTATCTGTGTCACCCCATCTTTCCCTTTTCCCATTTGAATTGACCATTGTCTGATCTTAAGTCAAGCATGGAATTCATATTTTCACGCTTATATAATAGCCAACATCACTTAAGATCTTGAACTACCTGGTCTTTAAAAGTTCTACCGCAATAATATGCCAAGTGAAATAGAGGTTTACTAATTTTGTAACTAAGAAAGTTACATTTTCAAGCAAATATTAAAAAAACCATAAATAACTTCCTTAAATATTTTACTTTAAGTTGTATATGCTCTCGGAGCGGAGACACAATGCAAGACTCTTGCGAACAGTTCTTTTATCACACTCACACTGCAGAGTTACAGCCACACTGCAGAAGAACATCTATCAGAGTTCTTTCTAATGCCAAACTCTAATATTAAGCTGAGTCATTATGAATCTCTTCCATGAACTGAAAAATCTTTCCTGCAAAGCAGACTGGGCATAATTTGACTGAAAATAAGAGATTCAAGTAAATAATGACATCAAATAAGTGCATTTGGAGTTTTCTTATTTTTAAGGGTTCTTTTTTATTATTTGAGACACAACTGTTTGATCGGGCTTTTTTCTTTTGCTTTTAAGAGAAATCACAGATAAACAAGCTTTTTCATTTACAATCTAATGCAATGACATACTCAATTACAGAGCAGAATTTAAAGTACTCATCTTACCACGTGAGGCAACTCAACTAGCAACAGTACAAAAAGGTACTCCTTTCACACTGATGGGAATTGAACATTGAAAACAGAAATGGAAATAGAAAACAGTATGAAGTAACACCTCAAGCTACGAAATCATTAAGAATGTGTTTTTTAAAATGCATTAAGTCAAAATGCTTGACTTAGCAATGCTTTTGAATAGGAAATTCTTACTTATTCAGTCCTTCCTCTTACTTCAACCTTATTTCTACTCCTGCAGAAAACATCACTTTCTTATTCTATACTGTCCCATACTGGCACATACACAGATTCTTATTCAACAAGTATCCTTATTCTCTTTACTACTGCTAGACTCCTGCACGCCAAAATTTGAGAAGAACCGAACAGAAAAACTTAGCATTCAAGTATACTTCTAGGGCATATAGCTTTCATGCATGAATGGAAGAAACTAACACGAGTCTCTCTCAAATGCTCATACTATCATTCCTCTAAATGGTTACAGAATTTAAGACATGTATTACTGTAGCACGAGGCAAGAGTTATAAAAAGACTATAAAGTTTCCTAGACCTTACAGTTGGAAAAAAGAAAATATTCTTAAAAAAATATTGGTGTTGTCCTAAAGACATTTATTCACCAGTTTTGTGGACTGATATACACCAAGGAGCAGTTGTAATTAAAAATAAATAACACTTCACAAAATCTGTGCAACTGCTGAGGCTTGGTTTTGCAGGTCTTTTACCTTGATTTTAGTGTTACTGAGATTTTGCATTTGGGAGCTTTGGTTTCAAAACGTTGGTTTTGGTATCAAAACGTTGTTATTTAAGCATCTGATCAGGTTCCAGGAGGCGTAAGCCAGAACACATTCGTGTTTATGGATTTCAAATTGCTTCTCTTCTCAAGACAGGGAACTGAGGGTGTTAAAGAGTGCTCTGAAGGTCCCCTGCTGCTGACCAATTAGTAGCAATGGGTGATACAGCTGGATTGTCAGTGCCATAATCCCTGTCTCTTTACCCCAGGTTTTAAGCATGGCAAAGCAAACACGACCCAAAGTAAAACAAAATGCTGCAGCCAGCCAAACGCATGAGTGAGTGAACAGGATAACTATGCAGGTGGCCCGTGGCTTTCATTTTCCCAGGCCTAGATCTGCCATTATTTGCACTAATGAGGACAGTTGTAACATACAAGCCTTTTCTGTGAAGAGGGAAAGTTCAGCTTTGTTGTCTCAGTGAAGACCACCAGGGCAGTAATTCAAACGTAAAAGCAGCATTAGGGGAACAAGAGTTCACCCGAGATGTGAAACAGCCTGCTTGAAAAACAGTTTTGGTGAAGGGGCAAGGAAGTAATTGTTTTCTTGTTCCCTTCTTCCCCCTCTAGATGGAGAAGCCAAGCGTCCCAAAGCCATGTGGGTGCTCACCCCTGCGCTGCCGGGTTCAAGCACAGGCCATGTGTCTCTACCTGACTTTCCCAATAGAGGGCATTATCTTTAATCCCAGCAGCAGACACCTCGCTTATATTTAAGAAATCCAGGCTCCTTGTTTTAGGGAACCATGTCAAAATAAACTGCTCTGGCACAACACTGAGCTAGTAGTTCCATTAAGTCTTTCAGACGCAGTTTCTTGCTTTGTGTTGCTTCCAAGCTACTACACCTGCACCTCTCCTGCTGTTTACCACCCTGTAAGATATTTCTTTTTTAGCACAACAGTGCGTGAACCTTTCAGATGCAGTTTCTTGCTTTATGTTGCTTCCAAGCTGCATCTCTGCTGCTGTTTACCATCCCGTAAAATATTTCTTTTTTAGCACAACAGTGCGTGAAATTTTCTGCTTTAATTTACCTGAAGCCTGTAACCTACAGAAAAGACCAGAGAAATGCAAAAGTATTCTAAAATCAGAGAAATCCATCAAAAACATTTTCTTGCGTGAACCGAATTCCTTTCTTGGGGCTAAAAACACCATCAGAGGCCACAAAATGTCAGTTCTATGTTCAGACTCATTCTTTGCTGATTAAGACTATAAAACGTGTTTGATTTCTTTTTACCTGTTTTTCTTTCTGCCAGATAGGTATAAAAATGTTTAGTACACATAAGCACCTGGAAATCCTTCGGAATAGGGGCTCTGAATAAAACACTAAAGGTACTACTGTGAGAGAGGGAAGGAAGAAGGAACAACTGAAGCTCAGGAGATATGCAAGTACTTCAACAGCCAGCAGAGCAGGTCACATCAGTGCACCCCAAAAGCTACCTCACAGCATCCTTTTTAATACTACTACAGCTCGGATGACAAATTCCTACATTTCTTTCCTCCATATGTAGCCCACCTTGGGCATGAACTATTTCCACACACAAAGCAGAAAATCACATCATTCTGACTGAGAATTTGAGTTGTTTTCAAATGTCAAAGCCACATGTAAGCCCTCTCTCTGAAATGTCAGTAGGATAACGTTTCATTCCAAATCAATCTGTCACTACCTAGCAAGATGTTCAAGCTACGGATTTGAAAACAAGTTGAAAACTTCAAACTAGACCAAAATAGGTGGTTTTGGTATTGACGAGTCTTCACTACTAGAAAACAACAAGCTAGATGATGAGAGCAATAGCCCTCGTTTTCCTGTAAAGCCAAATGATAAAAAATGCCAAGGAAATCTCTTTCATGTACTCCTCTTGTTATAGGGTAACTGTCAAAGCACACAGACAGCCAAATGTGGCTCTCATTAACAACTTGCACCACTGAATAAAGCCATTTGAGATATCTGTGCTCTTAGGTGTCAAAACCAACACAAGGAGACAATGCTCAACAGCACTCTAGAAACAGCACAAGCCATACTCACCCCACAGCTGGCTTACCTTCCATGAGTTTGGCAAAAGGCTCTGGACACGTGGAAGGGATTGGAAGGGCGAGTTTATTCATGGCAACACCGTATGCTACTGCAAGACCATCAATTCCTCGGAAGGGTACTTCTCCTGTTAACAGTTCCCAAAGCAGCACACCGTAACTACCAGGAAGAAACGAAAAAAGAGAACAGCTGTTTGACTTCAACACATTCTTTGTTAAGCAAGAAGAAAGTACCTGAACCCGTCAGGGTGAGTCTGCTACTCTGATGAAATGCCAGTTTTCTGGACAACCTCATCACGGTTGCCAAGCTGGTGAAGTGACTTGTTTTATCTGCTTTTTCAAATTAGATTGAACTAAAATGCCATTTTTGGGCAAAAATAATTTTCTCTCTGGAACTGGGAACAATCTGAAAAACATTAACGTAGATCTTCAAACTAATTTAGCAAATTTCAAACCAGAACCTGGTGAAACTCTCAGAAATGTGAAGGAGGGTTGTTTGGTGGATTGTGATTTTCAGAATTAAGTGAAAAATACTCCTTCAGAGTTAAGTTGTCTTAAGATATTCTATGAAATGTTAACTATGAAGTTACAGAAACAGTTGCAGGACCGTTCTCCTCCCAGGTATATGACAAACAACACATCCTCAGAATATTCTCTCTGCTTCTCGGAAACCTGAGCCAGAGTCAGTTTCTTTATGCTTTGTGACCCAACAGTTTTTTCTTCCATTGATCTTACTCTCTTCTGAATCCATTTACTGTCCACTAAATTCTGTGGTAGTGAGTTCCACAAATTTAATGATGCATTGCCAAAAAATACTTCCGTGTGTTTGTTTTGAGCTTGTCACTTGGTAATTTCATTTGCTTCCCTGTAGCTCTCTTCAACAGAAGGAAGAATGAACATATGTCCCCTATTAGCTCCTTTCATGCGATCCATGATTTCACAGGCTCCCACTACATCCTGCCTAGATCATCTTCTTTCCAGCCCCAAAATTCTGATCTAGCTAAATCCCAATCTAGTTACTCTCCTGAACAGAAGGCATTTCATATCTTTCACTGACCTTGACATCTTCTGTACAACCTAATTCTATTTAAATCTTTTCTGTTGGAATGACCAAAATCACATAAAATTTTAAAGAGATGAGAGAGGCACAGTATTTCCTGTTTTTATTCTTTATTTCTTTTCTATTAAATTTTAATTTGCCACTTGGCTTTCTGAGTCCTTATGAAATAAGCTAGGCTACCCACAGTAACTCCAGTATCTTTACTGAATCATAACAGTAAAATTTAGAGCCCATAACCGTACATGTGAAATTCTCCCATGGGTACTACTTTGCATTTATTACCCTTTCATCTACTTTACCATTCAATGTAGTAAAACTTTTCCTCACCTCTCTGCGGTAGATTAATTTTTCTTATCGTGAATAATATGGTATCATCAACAAATGTTATGTAACCATTTATTGCTTTTTCAAATCAGTTATGAGTATGTTCAACACAGAATTCCCCACCAATAAAACTGATTTTTTCTTTTAATAATTAAGAATTGACTAAGGGATGGGAAACAGATTGGTCCTCTTTTCCCACACCAATTTACTTTCTTGAAAAGCTTTTGACAAAAGATTTTGTTGAAAGCATTTATAAATCCAAATATGGTATAAGCAATCTTACCACTTCTCCACAAACTCAGTAACTCCTTCAAGAACTTTTGTTCTTGAATACGATCTGAAGATACGATTTCTTTCTACAAAAGTTGACTCTTCCCTAGATCTGCTAATATGTCCAACAGCTCCCCACTCTTTAGTGCTGTTTCTACCATTTAGAAGAACTGAAAATCAGACTTGCCAATCCTCAGGAAGCTCTTAAGACCTGTCATCATGTTTGCCGCCTTCCATTTCTCTAGTATTAAGGCAGCTTTAAGCAACAGATTACACAGCAGGGCTATTAACTCAGTTGGCTCTCATGTGCCCATAGAAATCTTGGTTGCTATTATAAATGTCAGCAATTTGTTACTGTTCCTTTTATCAGTCAGCTTTACCACTTCTGTGGGCAGTACTTCAGTATGAGATATCCTCCAGCTTGGCTCCCTTAAAGAGAGATTTTCAGCTTAAAAAGCCCCTCTTTGCTCCATTCTAGCAGACACAAGTCACTAAGTTTTTTCTGCTATGACCTTACCTTCTTTGCACTCTTCCATCTTGGGCTGTATGTTCTCCTGCAGGGTTCTCACCCTGCATTTGAAAGCAATTTATTTGGTTTTATGCTCTTTGCAAGACTCCCCTCAAAACCCTTTCAATCCTCGAGTGTTTTATATTCAACTTTCCAGTACTTAAATCCACACCTTATTTTTCTTATTTCAATACAGGTTCAACTTTTTGAAGGGTATCTTCCAGTAGCCTCTTCTATACCATCTTTTGCACTCATTTGAAGTCTTTCCTATGCATTCACTCTGAACGTTGCATGTTCCCTTTTTCTTGTTTTTACACAAATTTCCTCAGTGTTGTCGTTAGTCTCCTTGAGATTAAGCACTACAGCAATGGACTCATTTTTCTTAATTACTCTTCCAAAGATCCTGATTCTATGTATTTTGACCATGATCATATTGCACAATTTGGAAGGTCTCCTAAACACACTGAGAAACCAAATGAAAACCTGCTTCTCCTCCTAAAAGCTCCCTGCTCTGTGAAACAGTCATTTCTGAAGCTAAAAGATTAAACTCTTCCTGTTTCAAAGCAACAATTGCCCTATCCATTTGGGAGTAATCAAAATTTTCATTATCACAATCTGTACTCTTGCAATCTCCTCTCCACCCCACCATATCTTTAACATTCCTTGTAACTTCTACCACCTTAGTTGGACAGTCTTACTACTACTTTTCCTATTTAGATATGGAATTTCAGTCACTAACACAGCTAGTTTACTTTATTAATGAAACTCTCATATTTCTTCACCCAGACAATCTTTTGCATTTTTCCTATGTAATTCATACTTTTGGTATTATAATAATTTATTATTTCTTTCCAACAAGGTTCTCAATTTCTTACTGTCTCAAAAGCCTCATTTGAAAAAAAAAAAATCAGAAGTTTAAGGATCTTCCATTTTCTTTTTGGCCTCCTAGGATTAATACGACACTCAAAGAAAATGAATACTGGACTGAATATATATTTGGCCTGCCTAAATCTGATAGATCATTTATGTTACTCTTCAGTTTGGATGCAACTGTTGATATTAAAAGGTAGGAAAAACTACCAAAGAATTGTGTTTACCACTTATTTGGATATTAGACACTTCTCTTAACGGGATGGTTAGGAAAGGACTATTGATGTGCCCAAAGCATTTCTTCCTCAGGGTTTTGTTTGGTTTTTGTGTTTTGTTTTTTTTTTTTAAAAAGACAAAGGAATGGACAGATTGGTGTTTCTTCTAACGTGACACTAGAAATATATATTGCAGGAAAGGTCACTGTTTCTGACAAGACTGAATGCCACCTCTTCCTCATGTAATTACAGACCATTCCTGAGAATACTGCTGCCACAGAACTAGGGAAACATTGCTTTGTGGTATTTGAACAACAATCATCCCAAGTGATTACACAGCAAGAGAAGTGCTGAACAGAGTGTTTTCCATTAACTCTCAAGCAGGGGATTGGGAATTACAAAGAAAAAAAAACGCCAGAGACAGAAGAGATTTAAACAAAAAAGAACATAGGAAGAAAGAATCAAGAGCCTCTTGTCATTCTCAACAGGGAGGAAGAAAAACTGATGCAAGCTATTTTTTCCAGCACCCAGTAGTAATTTTTGGACTTTAATTACAAAATTAACCATGTGATACAGACCATGCTTCCAAGTCAACTGACACTTATATGAATAATTAACCATCTCCCAGTGATGCAGTAATCTCTTAAGCCATTTAACATCAGGTTCAATCTTACACACTGGATTTTCAGGGAGAGGGAGGCTGGAGGTCTGCAGGATTTCACATGTGATTTTGCCACCTCCCTTGTAAGTCTGTGAACTTAGAAAAAAAAAAAAAACAGTAAAGTTCTTCTCACTGTTATTTTTCAATGGCATTTGAAAAACAGGTTTGTCTTATCCATCTCCCTAGGTTCAGCACGTTCCATAAGAAAGGAACTATCAGCCCAACAAAGAGATCCCAGAAACAGAAACTAGAATATTGCTTTTGTTAAGAAAAAAATTTCATTACATTTTAATGGCTATTAACAGTTAGAATTTTGCATGTTATCAGACTGGCAGTTCCAGAGATGGCATTTCCTGCTTATTTCATAACAGTCTGAAGCGTGCATTTCTCCTATATGAGCTTCTACCAATATTGCTAGTCAACACTTATCTGCCAGGTACTGAAGTCTTGCCAATGCTTCATTACACACAGAAGACTACAGAAGCCTGCAAGCAGCTAGCTGTGGATGGAAGTGCTTGCCAACACTTAATTCAAATGAAATATTCAAATGACTGAAGTTCCTACACCCACCACTGAAAGCCTGAAACATCCTGATCTGCTAATCAGATGGTTTTAGGTAGTTCTGGTATTCCTTTGCTAAATGAAAATTAAATTCCTAATTGTTTCACTGGTCTCAAAGTAGATACACCTTGAAAGCATCTAAAATAAGGAACATGAGGATCTCAGGTGAAGGTTGTATGGTGGCTTAATGTTCTGCATACCGATCATATTGACAACATGATTGTCTGTTAAGCAGCACAAGTCAAACATGAAATGTGTGGCAAACAAGAAATACATTTAAGCAGTTAAAATGACAGGGAAACTTGAATTACGTGCCCACTAACATTAGCTTGCTGTACAGTACTGGATAAGCTGCAAGAGCTGTGCTTCAACTTCACCCCTGTAAATCCAAAGCAAATACATAACTCTCCTCTCAAATACATAAATAGATTTACAGGAACTGACATATTTAAATAAAACCATGGCTTCTTTGTTATCTGTCTAGCATAAGAACAAGGTTTCTGGTGTATATCTAAAGCTTGTGGGTGCAGCACAGCAAAATTCAAAGCAACAAATTTTCACTAGCAAGATGTACTAAGTGCTGTTATTAGCAACAAGCTTTACAGTGGCCCAGACACTGGTGACAGACACCAGTGTGTGCCAAACCTCCTTTAGAGTGAGACAAAAAAAAAAACCAAACAGATTGAGATTTTTAAAATGGAGCTTGATACATGTTTTCAAAGGAATTGCATGAAGCAGTTATTTATGACAAGATAAGACTGACTCAGGAAATTTCGGTCCTGGCAAGCACCTTCTTCAGCATCTTTACCTGTTTGTGCAGCAAGAACACAAGTAGAACGAGATTCTTGTTAAAAGGCAGGGCATCAATTCAGTATTATTCTAATAAGCTTTAGAGAAAAGGTGTTGAAATAAAAGGGTTTGTGAATGTTAGAGACAGCCGACTGTGTTGATGCCACAGGCTAACTGGAAGTTCGTCAGACAAAACTCCCTCGACTCCAGTGATTAACCAAGAGGTTGAAGTGGACAAGAGGAAGGGCAAGTCTAATAGGACAAAAAAGTTCCTCCTGTTAAGAGTTTCAAGTTGCATCCTTGGGTGGGGACAGGATTTATTACACATACCCATGACTGCTTTTGTAAAACCTAGTGCTTACAGTCATTGACACACTGGTAGTGACCTCACTGGCAAGTATTTGTCCTCTGCATTCATGCCTCAAACACCATGCTCTTTTCAGCTTATTTAACTATGACTCAAAGTTTTGGCCACCAGAGAGGGCAGGCTTGTTTGGAGCCAGTATAACAGCTCTCTTAATGGTGATAACCCTCTGTTTAAGGGAGAGCATTGAGATGAACTCAACCTGTTTTCAAGGGAGGACTGGTAACTGTATAAAGATAAAGTGATGAGGGAATCTTAAATAGAAATAAAGTATTTTGAAAAACTAACCAAATAAGGACTGTATATAACTTAATTAAGTTCTGAAGTGAATCATAGTCCTTAAGTCAATGATCAAACTGGCATTTTTGCATAGGTATAGGAGGCACTTGAGATACCTTCATGAAAATTACCAACTGAGCTATTAAGTCTTCTCTTTTTTAAAAAGAGGTCATAGTGGTACAGAACATCTACTGATCTGTTCACGGCATGCCTGGATTAGTAAAGTTACAATCACAGGGAAACTGCTCCCCTCTTCCCTTCTCCCTCAGGTTACCCTTAAAGGCCACTCCTGGCACTGTTTGAGGAGAGAGCAAATTGAGGTTTGAGCTTGACAAGCTGTGTACAAACCGGTACTGTCATCATGTGCACAGAAAAGGTGCACAGCCTTGGGGTTCTCATTTCTGCCAGACTTCATTCAGAATAAGAGCCTGGTTCTTGCTCAATTTGTCTTGGATGAACTACAGAGTCTACCACATTTAGAGTCAGAATTTTATTCACACTATTAATGTGCAAAATACAAGTTCACAGGCTTACCACAAAGCAATACATTATCTATTCAGAAGAGCTGGATAAGGAAAATGAAAATCCCCACACCAGATCTCTGCCATAGCAGCCAGATAATTCTGCCAGCTGGGATATTTCTTTATCCTGACAGATTTCACAGCCTGCATGCGCTTGTGTGGGAGCGGTACTGGCCAGCAACAGAATCTTACTGCTCTAAAGACAAAGTCACCCTGACATTTCAATAGCTCTCTCCCCACAGGAAAAACAAAATTACGTTTACTTCATCTGTTTCAGATGTTCAGTACTAATTTTATGTCCCACAGCATCCAGAAAAGTCACTGTTGTAGAGCTATTTACTGAATTGTGGATTTACCAATTCACCTTCTGGTCATATTCTAACTCAATTTCTGGGAGTCATGGCTGACTCTTACACTCCTCCCCATCAAAGCGGCTCCTGCTCTCAAAAAACCCAGTGCATGAATGGAATAAATACTGTATATATGCAAATTACTACTCATGGATTACATACTCAGATGGACTTAGAGAAGAGATTTATTATTTTATGTGAAAGACTAGAAGGGAGAAAATAACATGTAAGATTACTATGAAAGGGAAAAACATTGTGTTCAGGGTGAAACCGCATGCGGACTCCAATTAGGTACAGTGTGTTTGTGTACATATACATCAGTGACAGGTTACTACCAAAACATAAAATGATGTTACTGTTGACAAAACAGTAAAACAAGTAGTACTTTACAGATTGGTTTACAGCCTTATGGCCTTTAAATATGTCAGCCAATAGCCAAATACGCACAAAAAGTTTTAAATACAGCAGAGGGAATCAGGATTTATGAATCCTAGGACAATCCGAATGTAAATTTATCAAACCACAAAAACTTAGAGGCATGCAGGAGCTGGTCCACCACTTTCTGCAGTAAAAAAATCTTTACAATACAAAGTAGTCTGACAGCCTGACAGATGGAAAGCTGGTGGATAAAGTTTGCTTAAGGCCCAAATTTTACTATTTGGTTCAGCATTAGTCATTCTTAAACATAAAAGAGGTTTCCTGTCAGGTCTAGTTACTCTGTAGTATCCAATCACTTAATGCCAAATCAATACCTCCACACATCGCTGCCTTTGGAGAACATGGAGGAGCGGATGACCTCAGGAGCCATCCAGGCATATGTCCCAGCTGCGCTCATTTTGGTAGTTTTATGCCATTCCCTGGCCAAGCCGAAATCCGTGATCTTCAATATCTTGTTGCTCAGATCTCCATTTTCCACCTTTTCGAGTATCAGTACTGGAGAAAAGGGAGGGGGGGAAATAAAAGGTATGCAGAGTAAAGCTAGTATTAATGCAGAAATGATCCTCCTGGAGATCTCCCAAGTTTCAAGATTCTCCCTGACTTTTAGTCATTCAAACATACCACACCGTTAGAAGTTATTTCAAGCTGATCCCTTCATTTGACAAGTGAACAGCTGTCTAGCAAATAACTTCAAATTTTTTCAAAATGCCAAGCCCCAGATAACAAATAGATAATAACGTAATTATACAATATAGTGCCTAATGTCATTCTGTATAATAATTCTCTGCTAAGAGGAAGTGAACCACTGTAACTTCTAGAAATCCAGATAAGGGAAGACATTTCCTAATTAATCCTCTCTCAGCAAGCCAGTAATAGCATCTTTTTCTTGAACTGCTTAGAGGACTCTTTTTTTAAATCCAGACACACACAGGCTGGATATACCCTTCATGTAAACGTGTTAGAAGTGGAAGCTCTATGTATGCTTATTTATTTTTTTTAAAGTCACAATTAAAAAAAAGATAATTGATGATTCGTAGTAACATGCCCAATTTAAGACTTCATATACACCACCGTGTTACAGACTCCCTCCCCCATGATTATGAAACTATTTTTTTTAGTTAAGCTGTCGAAGTTTCTACTGTGTTCCAGTGGCAAAGAAGTCTGTACTGAAGAACTTAACAAAACCTTGAGGCAGAACTCAAGAATGCTCTGCTATAAGGCACGTATTCCTCTTTACCCAGAAAGATGCACTGTCACACCACTGTGAAATGAGTGTAAACCAGATGGCAGAAGCATCCACTATGCTTTAGCAGCACCTCATTATCCTCTTTCTTTACCTTAAAGTGACCACACAAGTTGCATCAGCAATGTAAGGTCAAGCAACAGAATAGGCCATTAGAACTTGCATAACTAACATAGCCATAAGCCTGTGAAATTGCTCTAAATTAAAAAGACACAAAGAAAAAATATTTGTATAATCATTAGTCCAATGACTTCACAAGCAACAGGCATCAAAGCCACTAACACACCATCATTTTGCAGCTACTCACCTTTTAATGTCATTAGACACAGGTTCTTAGAAAACAAGAGGTTTTTTCCCTTTTATGTATGTGTGTTAATTGCAACAAAAAAAAAGCAGCAAACAGAAAACTCAAACCCACAACCAATCGTGGATCACAACAAAACCTATAAAAGCATTGCAAAACTTACAGTACATATAAAAATCATCTTCAGGACCATTTTTAGCAGCCCACGAAAAAACTCAAGTATCAGTTTCAAGCACACAGAGGGTATTTTGGGGAAAAAATATTTAAAAACTCATTCTCATACTTCCCTCCAATAACCAACCAAAATGGGATTTCCCATGAAATAAAAGCCAAAAGTGTTATTTGAAGCCTCCTGCATTACAAGTGATACACATTTAAATGTTAAAATACTGCATTTACTTTTATTAAACAAACTGCCTGTTCTCTGAAAATTAAAAAAGTTAATAATCAGCTACCCTTTCTACAAGGCTTCAAAACTCAGAAAATACTACTTCATTAGAAGATTTTTGCAGTCCAACTCAAGTTGTGAATGCACTAGACACGATAAAGCTCTTGGTTCTTGCTTCTTTTGCGAAATTCCTCTCTAACACTACTGAAAGCTCCATTTTCCTAATTGTAAAGGAAAGAAGAGTTTGAGGCCTAGAGTTACTATTTTCTTCATTTGGGCAAAAGTGTATGTTTTTGTAAAGCCACACTTCAGAACAGAACCACCACAAGAAACAAAGGTACAGAAGGTGGGTTCCTTTGTGCCTCTTATAGTAAGCCTAACTTTTCCCCCTTCTTTCTGGCAGATGAGAACTGCTAAAAGAAATTTGCCAACAAGTCGCTTTTAGATTGCAAGAGTGAAAAACTTCCTAGAACATACATGCTAAGTTTCTGCTTTTAACATGTACCCACTCTGCCTAAAGAACTGGCAGAATAATAAAACCTAATTTTAAATTTAAATACAGAAAAAAATAGACATACAAGAGAGCATGGGTTTGGGTTTTTTTTTTTGTTGGGTTTTTTTTTTTTGCTTCCCTCTGTAAGCACAACGAGCAAATTTGTTGTTCTCAAGGCAGATCATATTCTATCTGAATGAGCTCAATAGCAGGACGGAGCACCAGATGTCACAGTTGGGTTGTACATACCTTCCTGGCAAGAGGTTATTTAAATCTAATTACCTTGATTTGTATTAAGTTCTAACAAAATAATTAGTACTTACACAGATCTTTTGTATCCATGAACTTGTTCTTTTGTCAGATGTAGGCTAAGTAAGATAAATTACCATGACAAAAGACCACAGAGAAGAACAATGAAAGAGCTGGATTTATAGCAAGTCCTTGATTTCTTAGTTACATCCTTGGCTCCCCTCTATATCCTTGTAATAACTGCTTGGGATAATAATCCTGCAACCCAAAATTATAAAAGTTAATTTTAAGAATCATAACTCTCCATCATCTGTTTCAATTCTCCTTCTCTTGGTCTGTATCAACAGGCTCACTTGTAACTGCTAGGAGTCTCCCCAGCCCATCTGTCAGATTTTCAAATTGAAAACCTTGACTGTCCCTCTTACTTTTACTCAGATTTCAATGAAGAATCTTGTAAATAGGTGAAATATGAATTCCTTCCAGCTTCCTCCTTAAAAATCTCTTTTATGGAGAACACATACCAGGTTGCTAGGACACCGTAAATGCATTTTACTCATGCTAATCAACACAGGCTGACTTGCTTGCGAGCTTTATCTACAACCAGTCATTGCCTCTTGTTCAATACTTTGAGTGCAAGTTTTCCTCAGCACATGCTATTTCTTTTGCACGCGTATTAGTCTACCAGGATATGAAACAAGCAACTTCCTACAGGTACAGAGTTAACATCTCTTTCCATCCTTGCATAAAATTTGATCACTCAGAACAGAGCTAACAAAAAAAAAAACCAGCTGAACAAAATAAGATTCAGACACAAATATAGAGCATCTACACCAAAACCACAACTAGTCTACCAAGGCAGCCAATCTTCTCAATCTCAGTCCGTTGATTTAAAAGATCTACATGAGATAAAGAGGTTTAAAAAAAAAAAAAGGTAGAAAATTGATTTGAAAATCTTTCATATTCCGAGCCTCAAAAAGAGAATTTGTTTGGCAGCAAAGCTCCTGGGCCTATTTTTCAGGCAGCCAGGGAAGCACGAGAGCCCGATCATCAGGAACATGCAGAACATGCGTCAGCTGGTTGGTGGTGGATCACCACTTCCCCATTCCAGCAGGGCCCATGCAAGAAGTCTCTTCCTGCGTGCGTGCACAGAGCCAGCCAAGTTGCAGATGAAGGTATGTTACGCACCACTGCTCCTATCGACCCAAAACCAGCCTTTTTTTCTGCAGCACAGGCTAAAAGCTGATCTTAAGTAGCATGGGTGGGAGCCAACTGGCAGTGTGCAAAAGGGGCAGATGAAGCAAACCCAGTATTACAAGCACATTCAGGTAGCTCTGAGGACCCAACTGCTACACCAAAACAACTTCACATAGCAAGTCACCAGTTCCTTGCATACTGCAAGTACAAAGCAAAGCATAGTGGCTCAAGCCAGCATTAAAACTTTTTAGCAACTTCAGGTGAAGGGTATCATGAACACATGTGCATACAGGAATAATAATCCAGCAGTGCTCATATACATTTTCATATATTCCTGAAAGACTTGGAACTTGTCCTCCAGAAAAGATGCATTTGACAACGAGAAATTGCAGCTCAGATGAATTCTGTCTAGCAGAACAGCTCTTCCATGTCTTAAGGTGTCCCAGCTGTGGCAAAAAGAAAGTGATGTGATCCACATAGGCTTTCATATTTCCTAACAAGACCTCCCCTGGATCAGGCATTGATCCAGATACTGGTACATATGATTTAGATGTATAATTTCAACTACTAAGAATTTATCAAGAACTTAATTACCACAAGGACTCTGGTAATGATTTGACTTCACTGTTTAATTTCTTGAGAGCCAGGCAGACTACAAGTGCTGAAAAACAACAGTCAATCGAGAAACATTAGGTCTGAGCTTAGAGAGATAAAAGGTAGAAATTAAACACTGGGCCTCCTTTTACCTAGGTTATGATGAAGATCAGTCTTTTTTTCTTTGAAATGAACACGACTATTGAGGTTTCTCCATATTCCTTGAGAACATCTTTAGTGCCTTACAACAAGCATGAAGGATATTTTCGTATCAGGCTGTTAGGAGAAAGTTTCCTGAAGTGGGCACTATATAAACCAAGAGGTGGGTTAGATAAGGCAATAAACCAACACTTACTGGTTTGATGATGAGACAGAATAACTAGCAGAAAAGTATAAGGCAGAATTCAAAAATCATTTGACAAGACTCAGTCTGGGGCAGTCCTGATTCATACTGTCTGACATTACAGCAAGTAAATGAACAACTATGTATTGCTAGAGATAAGAAAACTTGTCATCATTATGTTTTCAGCAGTTTTTAACACAGGTTTCAATCTATGTGATGCTTTGGCTTCTGCTCAGGACAAAACACGTTGCAGCAGCAAAGAGGAAAGGAAGCACCTTCATCACTAACTTTACAGCATTTTCAGTTGTCCCTGAGTAGTTTAGAGCTACAGATGGCAGTTGGTAGCCTAGTATCTGAAGATTTAGATGCCCTATGCTTGGGACTTTGATACTTCATGGAAAATATCATCACGCTCACAGTATAACTGCAGCACCCAGGACTGTAAGACCATCCCAGCTACTAAACAGCCTCTCTTAATTGTGCCCTTTTGTCTTTGTTGCCATGAGTGAACTCAGAAATCAAGTTCCATATTATCAGATAATTATCCTTAATCAACAAGTCCTGGCACATAACCCTTCAGAATCACAGTAATGTGAAACAGTATATTTTCCACAAGAACAAGTTCAGTTGCTTAAGATATGGTTCGATTTAGTTGTTCTGACTGTTCAAGTAATAGTTAAGAGGCCA